TTTATAGTATACCTGGGCCTTTAACTACGCTCCATCACTATGTAAATGAATGCTTATTATGCTCGCTTACTCAAACTGTGATTGACAGGCATTTTGCATATATTAGCCGCCAATTTAAACTCTGGATTTGTACTTGTCGTGGCATGTTTTGATCGAAAACAACAACATTTATACATAAGCCCAACCAGATGAGTGTAGTCGCTAGCGTACATATTTATGCCCCCGTAGATCTCTAAACATCGTAAATGGCACATTTCCCGGAGCTCCCGCCATGATGGGAGCGGCTTGGATCGGATTAGCATAGTAATTGTGGTGGCCATCTTGCCTCTATTTATAGTATGGTTCCTCTTTAACATTCCTGTAATGCGATTATGTTAATATTCAAGATTTTTTTTCAGTCCAAAAATCTTGAGTCCAACCTATTTTGTTGAGTAAATAAGTGGGAGTGATGATGGGTTGTAACGAAAAAATAGACTTAAAAATAGGCTTAAAACAAAAGATATACATCTGGTTTGAAACTCCTCTGTCATCTCCTACCGTAAAATCTCTATTAGAAGCGTCATTTCTAATAGAAGTTACACTCATTCTTTTTGAACAATTGAGAACCAAAAATTCACCATTTCTCATATGTGTAGATGCTCTAATAGAAGCCGCATTCCCTCTGTTGCATTGTACCATTTTGATAGAAGTCACAGCTTCTAATACAGTTTTTACAGTATTACCTTCCATGCATGAACAAAATACATGTACCACAAGAGCAGGAAATATTTACACATTTGCCACACATCTTTGAGTGCAGATTTAATGTCCTCTCATATCATATACTAGTAATGCTTGTATAATCATTTCATTGACAGGTCACTAAGGAAATCAAAGCTTATGACAATAAAATTATAGAATGTTCATTTGATTCTGAGAAAAAGTCTTGGTCATTTATGAGAGAACGAACAGATAAAAGTTTTCCAAACAGCGAATCAACAGCAGTCGGTAAGATCACAGCATTTGCTCATGTATATATTTATGTATATTATTTATGTTGTGTAAAAATGGTATTCCTGC